CCCCAAAACCCCAAAACCCCAAAACCCCAAAACCCCAAAACCCCAAAACCCCAATTAATTAATTTTACTGGAACTAATACAAAATGGTTTCTCCTTAAAAGACCTACTCTAAAGGAAATGTCTGCTAAAAACAGTCTAGCAAGCAGCTAAAGAAGCCGCTTGTTTAGATGCCTTCATTTCTTTAGATAAGTCATTAAGGAGCTTATCGAGAGCTTTAAAAATCATTTCATGATTTCTCTTCTCAAAGACTCTGTTAAGCTTTTGAATCATTTCTTTGTCAAATTCTATATGAAATGTTAGCCCAGAGTTTTCACAAAGTGTAAAATAGCAATTATTTGTCATAGATATGGAGCTGATTCATCCTTTTAGAAGTTTTACTTGAAAGATTCTATTTTAGTGTAAGAGAATTGACTTTTTCAGTATCAACCAGGACTAAAATGACTAGAAAGACTAAAATACACTATCAGCAACAAAGTATTCATCTTTTCTGCTGCATAGTACTTCTGTAAGATCAAATATCTTACCGAAAAAGTCGAGTTCTGTCATCTAAACAGTTTACAGCAAGAAAGCATACCTTTCACACATTGATTGCCACGAGTATATCCATGATCAAGTACTTAACCTTACTAGAACCATGAGAAAAAGCTATGTTACCTATCATTCTTCAAGATCTTCTTCTGTATCTCAGGGATAGCTCTAGTGACTCTTCCAGAGCCATCACTTGAAGCTTTCTTATAGTTGTAGAACTTCTTGATAGTAAGGAAGATGGTTTCTTTTAACTCTGATTTTTCCATCATGAATGTGTTCTCCATGCCAAATTCCCTCTGGCACAAGTTCTTAAGCAGCGTATAGCAGATGCATCGATACTAGAGGGTTATAGGAGACATACATGAGGCATATACTCTGGGTTTCCAAAGCGGATTCTGCCATACTTCACTTCTTCAGGGATTGTGCTCATCTTAAGTCTTTGCAAATAATTATTATTACTCTTTCTGAAAATTTCTTTTTAAATCCCAATGAGCTCTATATATTTTTTCCACAGCCCAAAGTTAGTAGAGCTGGAGATTAATTTAACCAGAATTCAGAACTAAAATTCAGGGGATATCCTTGCTAAGATCCATCTCCATACTGAAGACTGGCTTTGAGAGCTTGCTTTGAATCAAGTTTACTGAAAACTTAGCTGAAATACAAGTATTGTTGAGCCTTGAGATATACCCCATCTATAATTTGAGAAAGGGAACTTAGGCTGGAGAAATATTAGCAAATAAAATCTCCGTCTATCTGAGTATATGTGGCATAATCAAGCCTACAAAGGCGGATTTATCAGATTTAAGATCCTCCAAATGTGTCCTCAACTTGTTATAAACCTTTCGAAAGTTCAAGGATGCTTAGCCAATTTTCTATATGTTGGATTCTCATTTCGGAAATGAATCAGATTTAGTTATCCAATTCAACTAAGTTGGAGACATATGGGGTTTTGGGGTTTTGGGGTTTTGGGG